CATTGTTCATTTAACTATTCATATCTGTATGAAGAAAAGAGAAAAGAAAATAAAAATATTATCATTATGCTCATTTATTGTAAACTATATTAATTGCTAGAAGTTTATTTTATCCAATATCCTTGAGGTGAAGCTCCTCAATGTACTTACATTCTTTAATTCCTCCTTGATCCTTGCACTAATTGGTCAAACATATCATAAATATGCAACTCATCCTCATTTAAAAAGAGATCTAGCTTACTTTGAATAACATCATGTCAAATGCAAATAATAAAGAAAAATTTTATCAAGATCTTCCATAAACTGAAGTGGGATAAAATCACTCTGAAACTATTAGTGTGTCACTTCAATTTCAATAGAAGTATGTTTTAACATCTATATAATGATTGTTAAACCCCTATTATATCCTACCACACATTCACAAGAAATTTATAGCTAAATTATAGCTAGCTATGAGCTCTGATTATTTACTCACCTAACCTTACTAGTGAATCAACCATGAAATTCCTCTCCTGAACAAATGCACAACTATCACCAAACTTAGTCTCTCTTTTGTATTCTAAATTGTATTTGTTTCCATAGTGAGCCTCCAAGGGATTGTCTTCTTCACAACTTATACCACCACCACTTTTGAGTCACTTTCAATAATTATTTCCATCTCACTCACATTCGATCTTTTAATAAGGAACTGAATTGCCTACTTGGTAGCCAATAGCTTAGCCATATTAGAATCTTGGACACCATTTACAGATTGTTAGTTCGAGCATTGAGATCATATATCGCTGATGAGGCTATCAAACATATAAAAATTGTGTGAGCTACAATGCAACCCAATTTTAATTAAATCCAAACATTTTTAGGACGAAACTTATTTATTTCTAAAGATCTTATCATTCTGACCCAACCCATATGCAATAAATCCTTCAAATTTAGAATGCTTGTTTTTCAACAATAAGATAGAAATTAATTCCACCTAAAATGATAAAAATTAAATTAACATGAGTTTCCCGTGAAAACAAGTATTCTAAATTCCATAAAAAAACTGTGAAGTTAAATTAACTTGTATTTTCCCGTAAAAACAAGCATTCTAAATTCCATAAAAGATTTTGGAGGTTACAATGTATATTACAAATTTCATACTAAGTTCTATTTAAATAATCTTTTTTGTAATCTTAATATAATTTACAATGTTTCCTAGTCAAACCAAATACGAACGAATACGTAAAAAAGCTTCACCATATTTTCAGAAATTGTTCCAAGAAAAGCCTTTAACAAATCTTTCCATCCCCATCTAAAGATATCTCTTCTAAGAGGAACGTTTGAGTTCCATGAACTCCACTTCCAAGGACCAAATTCGTTCGAAGTGGAAAATTCTGGGGTAATGAATTTGCAATACCTCTCCTTAAGTTAGAATTATATGTCCTTAAGCTAGCTTGTTTAAGAAGAGGCCGTGTCTCAACTTTATTTGTACCTTATCGAGGACTAATGAATGCGTACTTAATTCTAAAATAAAACTATCCCTAATTTTCAATGTGAACAACAATATATTTATGTTGAGTTAGATTTTTTTGTCATTTAGTTTTTAATTTAATTTACGTGGAAATATTATTTTTTGTTTAAAGCTATTATCATGGTACCTTTATTTTTTAAAACAATAAAATAAAGTAGTACCTCAAATATTTCAATTTAATATGGTAAAACATATAAACAATATAAAGTAATTGAAAATAATTAACTAATAGAAAACTATCTAAATATAATATTCTTATAGTGGGTTAATAATTTAGATCATCCGTTCCATGTGGTTTAAAAATACTAGGCAACAACCATTTTAAAGAGTGTTACCTTCCACGATTGTTCGATTTGTACATAATGTGACCAAGTTGCCAATAAAAATATTTGTTTTCATCCAACCCACAACACATAGTAGTGTCACTGTGTATATATATATATATAAATATATAAATATATGCATGCCAGATCCAAGAAATCTTTCATGATTCACTAAAATATCACAGACACATGAGAGAGAAGAAGAAGAAGAAATAATTGATTAAATTAGAGGTCTAGTTAATTTCATTTTTCTTTAATTGTTTAGTGATCCCATAAAATTCAATTATAATTAAAAAAATTAAACATGATACAGACATAATTAGCACACTTAACCACAATCACAATATTATAATTATAACCATAATTCACTCAACAACCCATATTATCAGTTTCGTCAATATTATAATTCTAAACCTGTAAGCCAACTATAGCATAAACAGACGGCCATGGATGAAAGCCCCATCAACCTTCACATGGCCTTGTTCCCTAAGGATTTTAATAACTTGCTGTCCAACCAAACACAATAATATAGCTACCTACATAACTTTAACAATAAATAATTAAATCCAATAAATTAATTAATTTAAAAAGGGTTTTTAATATTACATGATATGAAAGAATCTTTTGAAGGGGGGGAAAAAAAAAAAAAAAAAAAAAGAAAGAAAGCAGTGGCATTAAATTTTGGAAGGAATAAAATAAAACACACACCAAACAAAAATAGGAAAAAAAAAAAATTAAATAAAGAAAGCCCAATTTAGCAATAACCAGAGCCAGATCACAGTAGGGTTTTTTGAAGTTTATTGCTTCTTGTTCATTACATCTTTTCATACTCTCTATATCTATATACCCATCAAATTAAAAATACAAACACATCCAAAGAAACATGCATATGACATCCACCATCATCTGCATCATACTTTTGCGATGGAGGAGCATCAATGACAAGCTTAAATTACTTTCTGTATTTCAGGCTCTGCTCTTGCATTTCTCCATGGCTCTTGGGGCTGAAAAATATAAAAAGCAATTATAAATAACACCCATCTTATATATAGTTGCACACATATATACAAAGTAATTAACATTATGCATATATATGTTTAAAAAACAATAACAATCACCTAGTCCAATTGCTTCCGATCCTTTCATTATGCGTAAGCGCTTGCATGAATCAACGAACATCCTGTCCGGAATCAAGGAATGATTAGCAGCTGGGCTATAAAATTTTCTTGCTGATGATATTTTTGATTAATTACAAATAAAACATCGTTTTTGATGAAATAAGTATAAGTAGGTTTAGTGTATGAAGACTTACTCCCATGGAACATCGCCAACCAACATCCAGTCACCGTCTTTGTCTTCATAGGTTGGCACATACTCAGAACTGTTCAGCAGATCCATTAACTTGCTTTCATTCATGAAATCTATCATCCCTTGCGCTCCGTAATTACCTATTGATCCATATATATATATCATTAACAGCCACATCAAACAATTATATATATATATATTCGTTATACACAATATATATATTAATTATGAGTGTCTAAAAACCAATTTCATGTACACTCACCATTGCATACTGCTCATGCCATCTAACTAAATTCATGGCTATTTTCCTTTAAATCTGCTATATATATGAACTACTTAAACCATATCAACTTTCTGAAGATTTTAATTAATTAATTATGTTACTTTAAAATATAATGCATACATGTGTATTCTGTAACTTGTAAGATTCAGGAGACGATATTAATATATACTGGCGCTATATATCCATATACACAGAGACGCATATATGTATATAGGCTTACCCATAGTGAAGGAGCTGAACATCTTGGCCAAGGCGTCGGATAATTGCTGGTAAGTCGTGTACATCTTCAAGTCAACCTTCCGGAGATAGGGCGCGCCGTCCATGGAAACCTTCACAAATGCTGCGCTGCTTCCCTTGTCGGCCTCCTCTCCACTGCTCTTCTGAGCCATTATGTTCTTCCTGTATGACCTCACTGGTGGCCAACCCACAACCTGTGCCCTGAATATTTACACACAAACACATTTCTCCGGTTAGATATGTATATATTTAGCCAGAGAAGAATGCAAGCAATTCCATCTTAACACAAACTTAATCACCATAATCGAATAATTCATTGTAATGTAAGAAAGGAAAAGAAAAACAAAACTAGAACTTGCATTAACCAAAGATACTAGATCTTATCTTACGACTACTTAGCTCAATAGTCAGAAAGCTTCTTATTTCATAAGGGATTGAGAATTTAAATCGCGCTATATTTTTATGAGCTTTTATTAAGAGGTTGTATTATGATTGAGATTTATTTTATAATTAATGAATATATGAATTTTTGCTTAAAATTTAGTAAATTTTTGCCAGCAACCTACTCCTCGTTAACCACTACAAGAAAAGAAAGTAAGAAGAGACTTTTATATAAGAATGGTTTCAAGAGGTTGTAATACATATCTTTATATAGATATATAAGAGGGAAGATAACATACTTAGAAGGTGGCTTTGATGGATCCTTGGTGCAGGCTGGAGCAGGAGGAAGAAGATTATTATCATTTGCAGGATTCTTGACATTATCATTGAGATCCTTGGATTGAAGGTTGAGCTTCAAATCAACAGTCTCAGAGAAACCTCTCTTCCCGGTAGCCTTTGGTGCTTCCACATCGCCACCACCACCTCCAGGCAATCCCAAACACAGCTCCGTCTCTTTCAGATTCAGTTCTCGTTCTCCGCCAACCATGCTCGCCATTTTCTGCCTCCACAATTCTACTTTGATCTCTGATGATCAACTGTTCTTTTCTTGTTTATGTTTTGGTATCTTCTCCTTTCTTCTTCTTCTTCTTCTTCTTCTTCTTCTGTAAATGATATAGAGGGAAACACAAGGAGAGAACCAACCCAATAATATAAAGTGTGGGGGTGATCATGTTTGTGTAATTTCATGTGCATGTCTTATCGAGTTCTCTACTGGTGATCTCTTGACACGTGGAGAAAAGTGGGTCGTTGATGGATTCTTTCAAGTAAATAAATTCCAGGATACATATATCTATAAATTATCAATTCTTTAAAAAATAAAAAAATAAAACTGAAAAGATTTATCATGGTCAACTCTGAATCACATGCAAACCACTTGGGCTTGAAAGAAGAATGGTAGTGATTTAGGGTAATAATTATGATCATATTAAGGGCCTAATCACTGGACTTTTTCTTTAAAAGTGTAATGTGAACAATATTATTCGATTACACCATGACCAGACCGAGAAGATTCAATGAATCAATATATATATATATATATATATATGCAAGGGTTCTTGTGCCATTTAAAACTTGATTAAATATATTCTTTGATTAATCTTATATTATAAATAGTATAAATTTCCAATGACTATATTTCAACCATAACCATATGCATTGTAATTAAGGTTGACAGAAATAATTAGACATTGACGATGCAAGTTGTTTATTTTTTTTATTTTTTTACACTGAACTTATATTAGTGAGTATTCCATCACTTAAATTTTTTATCTTTATATTAAATGATTATAATATATTCTCCAATAATTATTAATTTCAAAAGTCCCTCTCAAAATTAATTGTTCTCATCCTTGCAATAGAAAGTAGCCGCCAATCATGAGAAACCAGAGATCGTATACAATTTTCTTCTTTTTTAATTTTTTTTAAATCCCTCTTAGCATTTATTATACCACCTTCTCCTGAACTTCTCCTATTTTATTACTAAATTCCTTTTAATTAATTTGCTGTATTTGAAGAATAGGGTCTGTTTGGAATTGATGATGAAATGGGCACGAATGAGGCTTATTGTACTGTACATATTATATCAATTAATTGAATTGAATATGTATGTATATTGTTTATATTAATCAGATTCTTCCGGGAAACTTCCAATTATGCACATACCCACATGAATGAATAATGCATCCCATGCAAAAGGTAGCACCGTATATAAATTTATAGATATATCAATTAATTTGCTGGTAAAGCCGCCGATCAATCATGGATATATATATATATATATATATATGTATATCATGTATAGTAAAACTACTCATCTTCACACATAATTAGACTGATTAATTAATCAGCCACCTTCTCTCCTGCTTCTGCCGTTCAACGAAAATTTATGATTAAGTTGAATTATACTTGGTTACCCAAAAAGTTAAATTATACATATCATATCCAAGATATCCTAGCATATATCATAATTCAATGATCACCACGTCTGACACGCGCTTTTATATGTATATATATATATATATATAATATGAAAGACCCGTAAGTTTTAATCATTACTAAGTAGTATATATGCGATGATGTTGATGATGCAATTAAAGGGTTTAAATTATATTAATGTATTTGTTAGTAGGAAATTTTACATAAGGGATTAGGGATGTGATGGTGGTAAATACAGATGGACATGCTTGGATTATAATGGATTGAAAAGCAATTATATAGCTAGCTAAGCTTTAGGTTGAGAGAGGGGCATACATGGTGGTGAGAAGGAGACAGGTCAAATCGGTTAGAGATGGAAACATCCTAAACCCTAGCTGTGCCCTTGCCTTGTCAACGTCTCCCAACCCCATTCCCGCTTGTTTCTTTTCTAACCTACCTCAATCATCATATCTTCACCCGCCCCCATATACATATCATATATATGTATATATATTTATATATATATATATATATATATCTTTCTTTTTAACACCCTAAAGGAGAACATACATGCCCTTGTCTTCTTCTTCTTCACTTAAGCTACAGTCAAAATCAGATACCAATTACAAACAAAACCCAATTTTTTGTTTAATTTCAAGCACTCCAAAACACGCCCTTCCTTTTCTTTTATCTACTTAGAAGGAAAGTGACTTCGCCCTAGTTAATTTTACAATATTATCGTTATGTCAGAGACACTAACCTGATGAGGGGACTTTTGGGTGGTCCTCATCTCAAGATATATATATATATATATATATAGATATATATGTATGTATATAGATATATCCATTTACGTGTATCCAGGTGGTCCTGTGGTCATTTATGTGGCCACAACAATCCAGAAATAGCCACAGGAGTGTGAGATCATGGTTTTCCTGGCAGCTCAGACTTAGTTTTCTCAGTTACAGTAATATTTGTTTGAGTGCATGTGTGGGTGTATTCCTTTTAAATACTGTACTTGATGTGAATTAATTGATGCTTGCTTCTCTGTCATGGCTTCCATGGTGATCATAGACCCAAATCTAAAGGACACACTCGTTTTTGTGTTCCAGTTTTAGTGATCATCCGGACACTGGAAAACAGGATCAGCGTTATATTTTTATTTATTTTGTTTTATTTTTGAAGGAAGATCATCAACATATCTCCAATAAAATCTGACTTATATATATATATAATATTTAGTAATTAATTATCCAAACAACTACAGCTAGATAATGTAAAGTTTGAGAATATTGTAATTCCTATAATATATTCATTGCCTAACAGTACCAAAATTTAAGTTGTGTATTCAATTCAAGAGTATAATTTAGAAGCTGGTTAATCAGTTGGTGCTTGATGGTATCATTTAACTATTTCATATGAATAAGATTTTATCTTAGAAAAATAATATTATGTAAATAAACATGCACACAACATCCCTATTCTACTTTCCATAAATGTTAGTATTAAATCTTGATGTCACACACTGCATGCCTTATTAGGGTATTCTCTTAATCTATGCTTATTTATTGCTTTCGACCTAATAAGAATGATAAATGTACCTAGCTTCGAATAAGAATAACACGTACTCTTTCCCAATTCTGGTAGCTACAACTATCATCTCATCTTCCTCGCATGATATACATATGCTTCTTTCTAATAAAATAAAAATATGATGTGTATAATTTATTTTCTGAAAATTTAAAGCTTGCTTGAGAAAAGTTCTAGTATTCCATCATTCATCTCTAAAAATATGGAGGAAGGACTACATATGAGACTCTGAGTTCACCTAACTTGGTTGGGCTATTTTTAAAGCTACCATACATCCCTCAACATAAGGCTATATTAGGACTTAAAAGATAACTACATTACTGAAATGAGTACTATGATGTTTAGGCATGTTTCATTATATAGGTTATATTAACATGCTTATATAATTACTATATGTATGGTAAA